AAATGAATATTTATGTTCATTTCCTTGCAGTCAAAGAGAAGAATTTTCTAACTTTTATATCATGACTAGCAGCATGGCCCGGCGTTGCCCGAGCTTGATTCAAAAATCGTACGACTCATACAGCAATCGCAATCTTTGACTTAAAATATTTTTGCCCTTCCTTGCCTTTAAAGGAGTGACCTTTTCCGTGCTGATGCTGCTACATGCCTTACTTCTTGCCTATCTCACACTGCGAATTTTTTCTAAACTCTATACTAAAGATTAAATCTGTTACGAAAAAAGAACTAAACAAAATGAACACAAAACGATCAGCTTTAAAAAAGGACTCGTAACTGGAAAAACCGAATGAAAAAAGAATGTTAACAACAAATACTTTTTCATACCCAACCCAGTTCTGCAGAATCAGAATCAACGTTGAGTTTAAGCAAGCGAATGAGCCAATTGGAGTAAAGTGTCATGCAGATTTAAATTTTTCCCACTTGTGACGAATGCAGCTATCGATTTTTTTTGCATGCTAGCATGCTAGTTAACATTCGTGTCAGTCAGCTGTTGGCTCTCACGCTGGGCAGTAGAATCTTCCTGCCTAATCGTGGCAGCCAGCTATTGGCTCTCACTCTGGCCAGTAGAAAATGGCCGCAAACTACATGAAAAGTGCCGTAGAAGCCTGAAAAAATCGATTATTTCCACTATCGATGGGAGTTGGGAAATGCAAAGTCGGTCTTGGTCTTTCCACTAACTTGGAGCATGTGCATGTAAATTTTGGTGCAAATGCGTCGAAAATTGCGGCCGCGAATTCATTACACACACACACACACACACACACACACACACACACACACACACACACACACACACATCCTGCCTTTTATGGATAGAGTTAAGCATTACAGTTAAAATTTGTGTGTCCTACGTTTAAATAAATATAATATTATGTGAACAAGCAACAATCTTTTCTTTCATTTTTTATTCAAACGGTGAACCAAGGAACCGTTTCCCAACAATATATATATATATATATATATATATATGAAGAAATATTGTTTTAAGTCGTGCTACATTTATGGGATAAAATGCTCAATATCAGAGATAGAGCGTATCTAAATATAACAATGAACATTGAAGTCAACATTCAGAGGCGACAGGCTGTTTCATGCAAGGCTCAATCATCAGGCCATATGTTTAGTATGAAACGGTCTGTCGCCTCTGAGTGTTGAGTTCAATCTTTACTTTTATATATATATATATATATATATATATATATATATATATATATATATAGTTAATAGAATGTGCGAAACCAACTCATTTGATGTATTATTTTGTAAAATGTCCCTTTTGTGTTCATATAATCTTTTATTGAGGTTTCTCTTATGTATTTTTTGTGACAAATATTACAGGCGATAGTGTAAACTCCTCCTTCAGGTTTTAGCTTATTGTTTTGTTTAGTACGGACTAACTCTTTTATTATGACGGGTTTCGTCCTTCAGGGCTGATTTTGTTATATTGGTAGGGCTATATATGCGCACAACAGAGGGTGATGGGAATTTTAGAATTATTTTTTTCAGCCGAATTCATCACTTTTGTAAGTATGTATTCTACACTGTGATAAGATCTGCCAGAAATGGTGAAATGTTATAAGAGCCAGGGTGCAAATTTACTGTTGATGACCTTACAATTAAGGCACTCTGAAGACATTTGCATTATAGTGAATTATTTTTCTTCTTTGATCATGATAGCATTTTTTTATGTCAAAGTTATGTTCAGTTTTGTTACGGTGGTCAACCAAAGCATTTAATGCATTATTTTGTAAAATGTCCCTTTTGTGTTCATATAATCTTTTATTTAGATTCCTTGAGGATTCTCCTATGTATTTTTGTGACAATTATTATAAGCGATCGAGTAAATCGCACGTTCAAGTTTTAATCGTTTATTGTTTTAAAGTCGTAACAAGTTTTAGGTTTAGTTTATAGCAGTGGTTCCCAAACAATTTTGGGCCATGCCCCCACTTAGGTATTTGTAAAATTCTGGTGTCCCGCCCCATAATATTATTTCTTAGATATTCAAAATTTTACTGCAGTTCAAGTGAAGGAAGCAAACTGAATGCTCACACGCGCTGATTGGCCGACAAAACATGGGCTCTTCCATCGACATGCATCACGCCCTCTCTTTTGTTGACAGAGTGTGGGGAGACTGGAAATACCCAGTATGCTAATTACACATTTACGTGCATACACGTAAAATATTTTATGTACGCATACTGTGTATGTATCATATGTATTAACACGTATTATCCCTCTCATTAAGACTCAGTAGAAAACAATTCACTTTTAGTAACACTTCTTGAATTTCCAACTTATTCTGTTGGTATAGTAAGCTGAAGGATGCACATCCTACGCATGTCCCATCAGAATATTACCATGCTCCACTTGAGAATCATTTGTTTACACAGATTCTTTCTCATCAAAACGAGACTGACCCCAATTTTGAGAAAATGAGAAACTATCGTCCTTTATTGTTGTTGAAGAGACGTGTGAATACGTAAGTGAATATACGCCCGAATTCTTTGAGCGCTTCTTAGGATCGATGCCTTCTTTTGCGTCTATAACGTTAGCTTTCGGATCGATAGCATTATTGTTTTTTTTTGGGGGGGATGGGCATATTTCCATATTTATCTTTCTTTGTGTTACATTTTTAAAATAAACATTTTCATTCCATTTACCGTTGATTCATCGAGTGCAACATTCGTTCTATTTATTAAGCTGTTTCT